CTCCTCTTGTCATTCATTATGTGAAACATCACTCGTTAAGTGAGTTGATTTTTTACAATTTGTTTTACTCATTATGCGAATTACTCGTTATGAGAGATGCTCGTTAAGCAAGGTTCCACTGTATAAAGAGTAGCAAGAGCTTATCAGTCTATCAGTTCTAAGGTTAGTAATGAGAAGGAACATACTGAATAGTGTCATCTCAGCTATTCTAAGTTCAATGAAAAAAGAGACTAAGTTGACCCTTAACTGAGTGGAATAGCAGGCATTAAATAAAAATCAATGTATGAAGAAAATAGCCAATATTTATTATATATATCAATTAATAATATACAAACAGCATACCCTGCAGAAAGTCTTTTTAGTTAATGTTTTCTTGGTAGAATGTCTGTTACTTTTTAATACTCACATCATCTGTAGATTGTACATATATCTCAATACATTTTTCAGTCAGTGTTTACATAGGAAAAACTTGTATTGAGTTTTTGGGTCACAAATATAACATTTTTAACAAAATGATAAATGGGAAAATTTTGACTTTCATTCCAAATATAATTAGCAGAATGTCAGAATTACATATAGACATTTTGAAAAGTCCTTTGAGTGTGAACCAGGGCTTTGGAGTCATAGTCAGAGTCATCAAAAATTCGCCAACTCTGACTCCTTTTTACTTCCCAACTTGTTATGTATATAAGTCTTTTATGTAAAACAGAAAAGTATTGGAATTGTGTCAAATTTGACCCTCCAAGCTTTTTTGCATATCTACACGTTTGGAGACCTCCTGAACCCAAAAAATGTCAAAAGTTCATGTGTGTGTGTTGGTGTCTAATTTGTTTAATTTTTCTGTTCTCTGTTCTGAGATATTAAACAATATTTCAGAGTGAGTAAAGTTTAAGAAATGAAATTTGGCACATTAATGCTATTAAATTTTGATTCTTAATTAAAGGTAGACAGGATGGAGACATAGAAGGAGTCGTGTGTCATATCTCCAGTGTGGATGGACTTAATGACTATTTTACTCATACTTATTATTAGCATTTACAATTTTTTATAAAACTCATCTCTACCCTCAAAATTAAGCATTTTGTCATTTTATAATAGTACAGTAAAACCCATTAAGATGTTCTTGCCTGATATGTGCATGGGGACATGATTTACTTTAACCACTTTGAAGCTTACTAACTTCTGTGTTAAACAGTCTGACTTCGATTTAAAAACCACAGAAGTTACTAGGCTTCAAACAGGGTAAACAAAATTGTGCCCCCCACAAACAGTCTAACATCCATAAATACAGAGAAAAAAAAGCTGAATCTTTTGCATATCTCGACATTTTAAGGTATCCTGAGCCCAAAATGTAAAAATTTGGAAGGGGTCATTTTTTGACTGACTGCTACACTTTCCCTCTGTTATATATAACAGAGGGAAATATTTTTCCATAACTTTTACTTTCCTGGCAAAACAGCCTGGAAAGTAAAAATTATCAAATACATACTTATATATTGACTGTGTCATTACTTAGAACATAGAGGAGTCTTTTAGCTTTGAAATAAAAACGTTTCTATCTTTATTAGAACTCTATTTATTGAATCTTTTATTCTGAGATCACTTGGTGACATCAAAATTCCTGGGCCTATTTTGGTAACAAGTCCGCCCATGATTAGTGTTGGGAGTTGGACGGTAAGTCAGAGTTAGTAGATTTTTACATAACTCCACAGTCTTAGTGTGAACAAATAAGCTTATGGTACAAAGTGCAAAGACAGTATATGTCACTGCATACAAAAAACTATTTGTTAACAGCTATATTAATTGTTTGTTAATCAAATAAGATGTTTTGAGCATTTTATATGCTACCATGAAAGTTTGTTGCTTACATATAGACATTTTAATATGTTTTAGCCATGCTTTAGTAAATATTGTCAACCCAAAACTTCAAAGCAATTAAGTCATTATAATCTGCTTTCCATTATTTTAAATGGAAAAAGGTTTCCAGTAAGTGTTTTTGTACAGAACATGCAATTTTCAGGAATGGAATTATGAGGTTGATAGAGCAATGCCTATATTTTATAATAGAAAATATGATCAATATAAAAATATATTCATTTTCTTATGTCATAAATTAAAACTGTAGTAGACTACATTTATTATAATCATAGATATTATCAGTGATCTCAGAATAAAGTTATGAGTTAGCATGTCCCAAAACACAAGTCGATGATGATAATTATAACAACATTAGTAAAATTAATAAATCTTCAAGTTAGACAATGTTTAATTTTTAACATGTTCTTTTAATGTCAGAATCAATACAATTATTAATTTTTACTAATTTTTATCTTATTTAATTATGCCACTTATATTATCGTTCAGTTATTTTTATCAGTATAGGCCAGTTTCAAAGTTATTATAATAAGTGGATTCTATTCTATAAGTTTAATGAGAAAATGTTAAAAGTCAACTTTATATGAAATATATTTTGATTTTAGACATCAAAATAAAAAGTTGGTTAACTATAGATTTTGCTTTATAAAGATAAATCAGACTTTCAGCTTAATTTCTTATTGAATGTTAAATATTGTATATGTAAATTCTAAAATATTACTGTTAAAACCAGGGCCGTGCGGTAGATTTTCTAAGTATGATGCAAGTCTTGGAAATGCCGCCCCTTATATGTTTTTTTTTGCCACCCCTTATATAAATTATTAGTCTTATATAGGCTATAATTCTTATTATTTGGTGTATCTTACCAGGGCTGTGCAGTAGATTTTCTAAGTATGATGCAAGTCTTTGAAATTCTACCCCTTAAATGTTTTTTTGCCGCCCCCTCACAGTGCCGCCTGATGCGGCCACATCTCTGCATCATAGTACGGCACGGCCCTGGTTAAAACACACCAGTTTTTACAGTGAAGTGTACAGTACATTGCTTAACAATGTATACATATCTTAGTTACATTCTATGCTTATTCAAATAGAAATAATGATAAAATATAAAACTTTCTCTCTAATATTAGTTTAAAAAAATAACAACAAAGATTATTTATTTAACTAATTATAATGGAATCTGGAATTATGCCACATTAATCTATAGTTAGGTTTGACATTAATACTATAAAATATAGGTTTATATTTTGAATTGTACATTTGAATTGTTTAAAAATTTGGTCATAAATATATCAATATTTTATATGTAAAAATAAGAAAATATTATCAAATGAAATGAGATTTTTCTGATTTATAGCTATTTTAAAACATATTTTATAATCAGCACTTTTGAGAAAGGGAAACTGGGAATTTTTATTTAGGCCTGGATAAAACTTAGTAAAAATAACATTAATTTTATAGAAGTAAGAATCACTAACAGAAAGTAAAATCTAAGACTGCTTTGTATTTACAAAGAAACATTTCATATATTTCATTTATTCAAAAGAAAGGGGACTAAAGAGGTCTCCTAAGAGGCAAAAAAGATCTGCTCTGTCCCAGGTCCCACACAAGCTCTTAGCAGCCATGTTTATTATAATAGCAATTTGTAATTTAGAAATTTACAATTAGTAACTTAGTAATGCAATGGTAATTGTATAAAACAGTAGTAATTCATTGAAAAATTTGGTTATGTAGAGTTTTTTTCTAGAAATAAAAATTTACAAATACATTTTTTTTATTTACCAAAACATGAATGTAAGAATATAAAAATTACTATTTAATAAAAAAAAAAACATGATGATGATGATGATACACTTTCCAAATAAGCATAGATCATAGATCAAAATCCATATAACATTTTTAACTGAATATATATTATCAACTGCATATAAATCCTTAAGAAAAATATTTTATGTAATATAATCAAATTTTAATTCTGCCAGACTATCTCAATATTTACAGTTTTTATTTACAAACAATTATTGATAGATAATAAAGCTGTCTGAATATATGATATTTTTATTAAGTAACACTTCATAAAATGAATTTATATTAATTATAAAAATTAAATGCTTTAATAAATCAACAGTGTTTTTTTTACTAATAATTAGAAATAATGTGTGTAAATTGATTTAAAAAAATATTATTTACAGTGTAAATGAACTGATGTGCATTTTTGAATGTGATAACCTCTAAATATGCAAAGAAGCAGTAAATCATATGGCTGTCATGTAGCCTTGAATATGTTAAATTTATAAAGGTAGAACAAACAATTTTGTAGTGCAAAATAAAGCTATTCAAGGATATCTTTATTTTGTTCATGTAAATCAGAAAGAAATAAAGAGTAGAAGGCCGTGGGTATAATATATAGTATATTTAACTAAAAGCACCATCAACATTGACCTCAAAAATAAATCATCTCTCCCCTTTCAGCTAAATTATTTAATAAAAGCTTAAAGTAAGATTTTACCAACGTATGTAAATTATATATTCGTACGAATGATGTTAGGTATTACTGTAACTGTTAAAACTTTAAACGAAATGTAAGAATTATGCGGCATATAGACACTGACCTAATTCGATTTCGTTTCTATCGCATCAGAAACGAAGGACAGATATAAACAGATCTATCTGTTGACATATTCCTTTTATTTAAATATCCTATGTTTTTAAGCTGCCGTTTAGACTATACTAGCCTAGACTAGGAATTTGTGCAGTATTTAATAACAGCTGCAGTTGACTCGCACAGATTTTTTACTCCGTTCTTTCCATTTCAATCTATGTATCAGGCCGCTGCGCTTTATACGAGGTCATTGGCTAGATACTCTATCGGTTATGAACTGGAAATGTCGAAACGTTTTTCGCTATATATATCAGACAGGTGAGTGTGGAAAAATCCCTATCTTTATTTAATTGCACTAAGCTCTTCTTCGGTAAAGCATTTAAAAATATAATTAATCAAACGTACGGATATCAAATTGTTCATAAATTTAGATAAATAATGCGGACTTTACTGCATAGTGAACTGTAAACGTGGCAGGTAAGCCGAGAAAACAACTATCAGGAAAACGTTCGTACTGGCACGAATTGAACAATGTTTTATGCTTTTATCTATAAAAGTGGCCACAGAGCAATTGGTTTAGAATTATCGCCCGATCTTTCCGTTTGTAACGTGGCTGAATTAACCGCTTGGACAGAAAAAAAAAATTTTTTAGTGTGAGATTTTGTAGTCGAGAACGAGGCCAATTTGTTCAATGATCGATCATTTCATTTCGGAGAGCAATGAACAAAAACCTTAACAGTTTGTATATACGTGTGTGTGTGTGTGCGCGCTCTATCACACAGTGCTTACTAATGCGTGTTTGGTAGGTTGCCATGCCTCCGTGTCCCCGCTAGGTTACAGAACGGGGATAGAAAGGGGACCACCGACCGTGCTGGCCCATCAGAGTGCAGATCAACTCTGATTGGACGGCTGCTTCTTGCCACTCCCTACTTCGGCTTGTTGTCAGGGTGCTTGGACGGTATTCATCACTGGAGGTGGAGCGGTATATGCAGCTCCATTGCTATAACCGCTGGCGAGTTGAACAGATGACAGCGAGGAAGCGAAGGGCATTATCTGTGTCGGACGGCTGGACACGGTATGATCGAGTTAATTATATTTTAAACCACGTAATAAATACCTTAGTGCTATTTTGTTAAGGTGACACAGAATTCGAGGCCCGTTTTTAGTATGTTTCGGCGAGAGCAGGGGATTGTGCACCAGCTGATTGCACTCCCCCTCCTCCTCGCGTTAATGCTGTTTTAAGTGCTGCCTATGGAACAGTAAGTTCGTTTTCTATTCATTTAGTTTTTCTAAATTTTAATTTTTTTTTCTCGTCTTCGAAATCGTTCGTATTCTACCTTTTTAACTATTAATAAAATCTAAAGTTGATTAGTTGAGTCATCAAGGCTGTGTAATTTTTTGCTCTTCTTCATAGCAACAGTGAGGCTTGTTTTGACATTGAATTACTGAATAAACTGTTACTACTTTTAATGAGAATACGGTTAATAAATTAAATACATTTATGGTTTCAAATGATTGATTTTTTTAAGTTAACCAAAAAAAATTTTTTTCTTTGTTCCTTTGTGTGTTTATGCAATGAAATAATTGAGATAATATCTACATTATCTGATAAAGAAATATTTTGAATTATTGTTTCTATTTCTAAATACTGCTTTAATTTGTAGTCATAGTAACTTTTGTTTTTAATCCCATACTTAAATATATATATAACATATTTATAATAATTAGATAAAAATTCTTTTTGTGATTTAAATTCTATAATAGTAACTTTATAATGATTCATTTTATAAAAAATGTATTCAGCTATATTATTTTATATCATCTTATTATAATATATTTTTTTAAGAATATGATTGATTAAATTCGATAATAGTTTAACAATTAATTCATTTACAGTATATTGAAATGCTGTTAGATTTATCATTATATAGATGATGATTAAATTTAATTCTGTATGCTTTATAATAATAATAATAATAATAATAATAAAATTTGTTTAACCTAAATGGAAATTTAGGTTAAATAAAATTGCTAAATTTTAACAATATAACGAATGTGAAGCTGTTGATACCTTCTACAAATATTCTTTTTTATATTCAACACAGTTTGTGTTGTCAGATTAGTCTAAGTTACCATGATTAGAATGAGAATACTTGTCCTCTGTTAATTTTAGTTAGTTACCTATTACNATACGATATAAAATCGTTACGTTTACAGCATAAAAATGATTATTTTAAAATAAAGCTATACATAAATTATTATTATCGCGTTGTAAAAATTAGCACAATATAAATGAATTGTTTTCTTTTATAAAGCAGAAAGATGAAAAAATAACTACACATACAATTATAGTTGTGCTTTGTGGCAATGTAAATAATACTTCCACATTTGTGGAATCGGAATATAATCAGAGTTAATGCAGTTTCCCTTCATGGTTTCTATATAAATCTCAATAGCCTCCAACAAGCGTAAGTCGTGTCGGTCAAAAAAAATCATGCCTTGTAAAAGAAAACAATTCGTTTACATTGTGCTAATTTTTACAACGCGATAATAATAATTTATGTATAGCTTTATTTTAAAATAATCATTTTTATGCTGTAAACGTAACGATTTTATATCGTATGGTACATCGTTTAAATATTTAAAAATTTGGAACACAGCTGTATTCAACGGTTAGAAGTTTTNTATTAAGTAGAAGGAAAACAGTTTAAAATCTTTTTAAAGCATTTTGAAATAAAAATAGAAATTTTGACAATTTTATTAATTGTAAGAACATTTATTTAAAATTAAGTGAAATTATTAAATGCTTTATCTAGCATTTGTTGAAAATATTTAATTCAAAAATTATTTTGGATATTAATTAATCTTAGAGAATTGGGCTCAAGATGAATTTACTCAGTTTTAATTCTTAATAAGTTATTGTATATGGCAGAACACAGTAGAATGATTGTTTTAAAATTCATTAAGAAATTGAATAATCTTTTGAAATGGCAAATAATAGAGAAAACTAAAGATATAAAAGTATTATCAATTGGTTTGTATAATAAAGTAAATTTAAATTTTTATCTAAGTTCAAAAATGAAAGATGTCGAATTTAAGATGAAAATGTTTTGTTTTCAAATACGACTTACAGTAAAATATTGATAACTGGTACTACATTGAACTTTGGATCTTTCTGTTCCAGATCATTAGCCATCCCTGGCCTCTTGTAATTTTTCCACTCTTTATAAAATAAAACTACTAAAATTTGGATATTTTTACTTACTAGAATATAGCAAATATTTTTTCAATATTTTGAGATTGAATAATTTGAGTACTGATAAAAATCAAATATATATATTGATTTTCTTATTAGAAGTTTATTAATGTTTTTCATTTAAATGAAATTACTTTAAACTTTTCAAAAGTAGATAAGAAGCCATTCTTTATAATCTTATTGAATCATATCTGTTCACTAATATGTATCAATTAATATGAATATGTAAAGGTAATGTTAAATCAATAACTGTATTTGAAATTCTATAGTTAAAATAAGCTATAATAGATCTGTTTTATTATAAGACTAGTTTCAAGAGTAATTTTCTGCCCAACCAGTAGATGGCATTCACAGTCATGTGCTTGCTTCATCATCTGTATAGTTTATCCAAATTTTATAATAATACTGAACTACTTTAAAAAACAAAATCTTTATTAAATAAAAATAAACTTATTTTTAAGAGGAAATTTAAAAATTGTTAATTGTTTTGAAATTTTCTAATCCATGATAATTACTATTTCAAATGTTTTATTATCATTAAAAATAAATTGCTATAAAATATGAAGGATTTGTTTTATCAAAAAGGGGAGGAAGGCAATATCGTAAAGTTCTCTTATCATATATTTTATGTTTGGATTCATATTTGTAGTCAGTTTACTTCTACTTTAATAATTGATTTTTAATTTTTATATAAAATTGTTGTTCCAAGTAAGATAGTTTTAATTAAGTTTGTATTTCTTTAGGATATTAGCATAACAATATATAATTACAGTGGTACCTCAGGATACGAAATTAATCCGTTCCGAAACTGAGATCGTATCATGAAAATGTCGTAAGGTGGATCATCTTTTCCCATACGACTACATGTAAAACCAAATAATTCGTTCCAACGCGAAAAATATACTCAAATTAAAGCCAAGTAATACATTTAAAAAAATAACTGTAGTAAGAAAAACAAATGAAAAATGCGAACTAATGTAACGTCGTATGGTGAGTTTTTGTTCGTATCGTGGAGCAAAAATATGTTCAAATTTCATGTCGTATCCTGAAAATTTCGTATGCTGGGGCGTTCGTAACCTGAGGTACCACTGTATATTATTAATAAATATTAATTATCTACTCAAATTATTATTAAAAATATTTAAGGCATAAATTCTTAATAAAAGACATCAACTTTTTACTTGAAAATGAAAAACTGATATTGTTATTTACTGACTTCAATTATTGTAAAGTGGTATATCTAAATTTTGCCTTTATATGAAACATTCTGAGGAGAATGTGTTGTTTAAAAAAAATCCATATATATATATAGTAACAAATATAATTTACAGTAAACTTTTTACAAAATTTTTTATTTAAGTATAATTAAACAAACAAATATCCAAAGCATAAATTTGGATTCTCATTTATTTTATGTTAATGAATGAAATATGATATTAGACATAAAACAAACTTTAAAAAATTGTAAGTTAAGAAGGAATTTTTTGAGTAATATGTATGTATATAGTATTAGACTTATATTTGATACGTAAGTAAGGATACATATGAAGTTTCCAAACTAATTGTAGAAACAAAAATACTTTGTTTAATAGCTTCCAGTAGCCTTCTACATTTAGAAGTGCATTGCCTAAAAGATATCATCCTAAGAAATGTTGAACACTTCAAGAAGCAATATGATGTTTAACATAGTACAAAATAAATATTTGTTTGTTATCATAAATTGATCATATAATCTGAATGATAAATGCACACATATGAGCAATATTTATTAAATCATAACTTAGAAAAATGTTGATCTTGACATTTAATCAAAATAAAATGAAGTCAACTGTAGTTATTAGAAATTAATTTATTATTTATAGTAGTGATCAAAATATTACTTTTATAATAATCATATTTACACATTCAATAAGATTTATACGATCATTGTTGAATTAAGATGATCTCTTAGAGTTTTAGCAAAAAATTAATTACTGGTAAATATATATTCTTCCAGTATTTACCAGTAATTAATTTTTATATAGTATATTTTTTTTTCTTCCCTATTTCTAACCAGTTTGAAAATAATTGAAATTATAAACTTTTTATTTTTGTTATAAAACATACAGAATTTTAATATTCATTTTTAAGTAGGCAATAAAGCTAAAAACAAACTCATCTGTCAGATACCACAGGCATGTACTGTACATTAAATATTATACTTAAAGCTCAGAAAAAAAATATTTATATAAAATTTATAAATTTAGACAACTTTTCAGCAAAGAAATGTTTTCACTTTTGTTTTGCTTTATAAATTTGTTTTGAAATAATGTAAAATACAAAACTGACTTTTCTTTAATTTTGAAACAATAAGGTTAAAAATGAAATACTATTATTTACTTAAGTTTATTTTATAAATATTTGAGAAGAATTTAATTTCTCCAAATCGTTGGAACACTCNATATGCAAATTTTTCAAATATTTCATATATATTCTGCGTAAGTTTAAAGTAACATATTATGTAATGCTTCCTTGCATCGATCATTATCATTTTACTACTAAAGAAACAATGGGATATGTTTGATTCAAATTCTAATAAATTAGTTAATGTAGTAGTAATAAATCCAAACATATACATAATAAAATAATTTTAATTGATGATCTTAATCAGTACTTTTCTGTAGGCATAGCTACATGTGATAGCCTTCATTTAACTTATACAATTAAATTTTTACATAAGATGCTTATTACTATTAATTACTGACTTTTATTAGTCTAATTGTCATAATTAGTCAGACAAACATCTTTTCATTTTAAAAATATAAATAGAGAAGGAAAGGTAATTGACTATTTAATATATTTTATAGCTTAAATTTTATACATTACATAAATCATAATCCACTGGACATATATTTTTCTCATTCTTTAAAAATGTTTAAAATGGCTCTGTCGGAGCCTATACATACATATTTTTATTCATAATGATGAATGAGTATAGAAAATACTTTATTAAACAAGGTAGAATAAAATATATTTAACCTTTATTTAATATAATCTTTATTCCAGAAATGTTAGAGAGAATTAATATTTATAGAATTTAAAATTAGCATTACTAATTAAAATTTTATATAATTTTTAATATTTTTTTTTATTTAGTTTATCAGCATTCCTGTATTGTGGGCTGAAAATTTTATAAATTTAGTAATTGTTTATTTTGATAAAACTGGATGTTAATTATTATCACTTATCTTAGATTATCCAGTTTTCTAAATGCAAATGTTTTGTTTCATATTGTTTATTATGATAAACGGATCATGTAATCTGAATGGCACTTGCATATATACATAATAGCAATATTTATTGAATCATATTCTATAGAAAATTTTGATCTTGGCATTTATAGTTAAAATTAAATGAAGTCAAACTTTGTATTTACTAAAAATTTAAAGTAACAAAAGAAAAAGGTAAATTTAAGTTCAAATTAAAAAATCAGACATAAAGCAGGAGGAGAGCAAAAGCAATAATGTACAAATATGCTATGATTCTGTTGTGGTAATAGATTGAAACTCAGCATAATTAATGCATACCTCTGGTATGGTTTTTTTAAAGAATTATCCCAAGAAGTAGACGAAATTCAACCATAAGTTAGTCTTATCTGTCTCTCTTATTTAAAAATATTCCAAAATCTCCATAATAAATTCTTCAACATTATCAAGTACATAATTCAAAAATGAGTTCTATCTGATTTGTTCCCAATTCAATAAAAAATTATTTTTGTAATTATATTTGAAGAAATGATAATTTGATTATAAATATGAATGAGCTGAATTTAATGCTTTAATAAGTATAAAATTTTAATCAGTTAAAACTTTTATTTTGAATAGTTTATCTTTCTGGTTAGCACAAAATAGACCTTTGCCTTTAAATTGATTTATTAAGTTGATTGCCAAAGTAAAAATTCCTTTGTAAATTGTGAAGTTAGGATCTATTTAAAACTTAAATTTTGTGTAAGTTTTAATTTATTGAAATTACCAATATCAAAATATTTCATATACAATGAATAAAATTTTCTTCCTAAAAAAATAAGTTTGTAGCTATAATGCAAAATATTTGAAAAAAGTAGGGCCTATATTTAATATTACTGAAAAAAATTTATCAACAAGTTAAAATATAAGGTTATTAATTAGATTGTTAAAAAGTCTAAAGTCTAATGAAAATCTTGTCTTAATAATATGCTTATTCTATCATTCTATCAATTGATTTAGCCCTCCAATGACCATAATATGCTTCTCTAAATCTCTCTCAATTTAGTATCTCCAGTAAAAAAATTACTTTATTAGCAGTTTTTTTTTTATAAATTGAAATATAATAAACTTGTTTAAGAGAGAGAAATAATGTATTTAATTATTTTCTAAATTAGTGTGTTAAGATGTCATAATTTAAAGGGAGATAATAGTTAATATCTAAATTATAAGCCATATATATTTAGGTTTACATCTGTAATAAAGATAATGGTTTCATTTTAACTATAATTTTATAAGTTGTTATAAAATCTAGGTCATCAAAGTTAAATTATATCAAACACTAATTTTAATTAATTCAACCCCTTTTTTTACTCAAATGAGTAAAAAAAGTAATTACATCATTGTCTTACAATTAGCTATAAAATATGATTTGAAATGTCATTCTAAAACAATAAAAGTTGGATATTTTGAACTGTTTGAACATACAAATTCTTACAAAAGTGGCAGGTTTGTGTGTTTATTTTCATGTAACATTATTTGCCCCATAATCTATAATCTATTCAAAATTATTTTATTATAGAAATGATACTTCAGTAAACTTTAGTCTGAGAATGAAGATATGTTGATAGTACATGTATATGCAAATTTTTCAAATATTTCATATATATTCTGTAATTAGAATGCACATTCAGTTTACAGAATGAAATTTTGTTTTAAAACATTAATGTGAGATAAGTCAGCACAAAACATTTTTCTACTTTTTAAAATTATATTCTTATTTTTATTAATGTAATCAATATCTAAAATTATTCAGTTAGAGAAACATGTTGAATTCAGTTTCTTTACAAATTACTTCATAGATTTAGAATATTTTCAGATACAGTAATACCCCGAGTTACGCGATTTTCAAATCTCGTCGATTTGTCTTTTGTTTAAGCGCCACGCAACTCTTAATTACTCATTTCCCCCCACACTATTGTTCGGCTTACATGTTCGGACGTGTTCGACATATAGCTACAATTTATTTTGTGTTATTTGTATGTATTTATATGCAAAATTATACCCCGACTTACGCGAATTTGACTTACGCGGTTATCGCTCGGTCCCACCTATCACGTAAGTTCGGGGTATTACTGTATTTTAGATTAGGAGGAGTTGGTACAGATGTATTCGATGCCATTTTTTTTTTATGGGTCACATCTATGTCCTAGTCAGAGGCAAAGGCTGGTAAAGCCTTTATGCGATAACAGGATAGATTATCCCTTTGAATAAAATGATGCCACCTGTAGATCTTTGCATACCAGGATCAAAGAACATCAGTATCAATTCAAAAAATGCCCGATTACAACTGCCTTAGTGGTCTTTGCTTCTGACCAGGACATAGAGGCCCTATCAAAAAACATCAAATAAAATGTGTTGAATGTAATCTGCAAAATATGAGATCTAAATACTGAAAAGTCTGATGATGATAATCATTGTAAACAAATTAGAATATAAGATTATAGTTCAGTAGCTTCTTCCAAATCAAAATGCAAAAGGTCTATTGCATTTTTATTTTATTTTATTTTTTTTATTTGATGTAAGTAGTATAACAGTTACTAAATCCTAATGATTTATTTTACTTTAATGAATTTTCATTTACATTTACAGTGTCAAATTTTACTCTCAAATATTTCAGAAGCTTTGTATTGTCTTCAGACATTATTCTGAAAACATTTGCAAATGCAATTTGAAATAACCTTTTATATTCTTAGAGTTAAAATTTTTTCTTTTTGAATTAATTGCATATCTACATCAAAATTTTCAATATGCATATTTCTATTTGTTTGGATGATCCAAATGCAAAATATGAAAATTCAAAAGGATTAAATCTTTTTGAATTTTCAACTTTTCCAAAATATATATTTACAAATTCACATTTCTAATTTTTTTTTCTGTAGTAAAATTTCATGCAATTCATAATATAAATGAACTTGAACAATTTCAAACTAATTCAAGAGTTCTTGTTTTTCTAATATTTTATTACTTAGTGTGTTTAAATTGTTTTGTTTGTAGTCTTTTTTTTACTGCAAATATAATTCTTAAATACAGATATTATGAAACATGAAGATTTTAAATTAAAATTTTATTTTACAAACTTTTCATGTTTAGCATTGATTCTTATTTAAACTTTAGCACTAACATAAATAGTGTATAATGCAAAAAGGTTTCAATTTTTTCCTCTCACTAGATATCTGGCAACAGTGTTTGTGTTAAGACATTACTTCTGGTTTGCCGGATGTCCTAAGCGAGATTTAAATCTAGAATGTTTAGACTTTAATATAGATTATGTATTAAACTGAAAGCATTGCAGTTATTTAAAAAACTTGAAGAATCCTAACATTGTTTTTAATAAAGAAATGGCAATAGATATTAATTTTATGAAATTTTATGAAATTAATAAAAATAATCTATATATTATAATAAAAAGTAAAACATTAATAATTTACATTTTCTGTTTTTTTAGAGTATGTGTAAACACAAATCTGGCGGCATGAGTCGCCCATCAGCTACTGCCAACCAAACAGAAAATATTGCATCAAATAATAATGTTGCAGCATGTGATAATGACCAGCTTGATGATGAAACATCTTCCACATCCAACAACCAACAAGAAAGCACTCCTTTACATCCTCTACAATTGATACCATCATCTCTGCAAGAATCATCAGAAACAAGACTTCTTCTGTTAGATATTTCACCAAATATGGGAGTTCAGAGTGCAGAGAATTCTGTTGGAAGAGATTTATGTGGTGTTCAACAAATGACACTTAATTCTGCATCATCTATGAAGCCCAATAATTCATCAACATTTAAATGGAATGCAATAAGAAGAGAGAATGAATCTGATGAAGATCACATTTCTGAAAAGTCACCCATGCTTGGAAATGATTGGAATTCTCCATTATTAGAAAAGTCTTGTGATCTTCCTGCTGTTTGTATTTGTGATGGTACATCAAACAGTTACATTGACTTTGGTCATTCGTGCAGTAATTATCCTTATCCTTCTTGTTCTGGTCAGAATGATAAATACAAAATGGAATTTACTCCATATAGCCAATATAATATTCCAAATTCATTGCTACCTAGGTCTTTCCGTAATTTGAAGGGAGGTGGTTGTGCAGTAGTTGAAAGGGATTTCATTGAACTAACTGAAGAAAATCCAGAAGAAATTGAATTATCATCTATTCATGGTTGTGACTGCAGCACAAGATCAGAAAAGAAATGGCTTTTCTCTAGGCATAAGTGCCATAGTCTGGATAGTAGTACAAAGCCCACAAAAGTGAGAATCTCAAATTCAGGCTTGAATAAAAGTAGATCTTTAGCTCAAAATATTAGTGTTAGACCAATGGAAAATATTGAAGAATCATCATTAGAAAAATCAACAAATGATAATTATTCTTTTCCAGCAGAAAATTTTGCAAATGATTCTTCTGTAGCTGGACCATCTCAAATCCAGAGACCTAGCAGTATTCATGGAGTAAGTGAAAATGCTAAAGAATACGAAGAAGAAGAATTCAGGAGTCGTAGTTTCAGTCTAACACCAACAATTAGTTTTGCTATTTTTGAGAGTGAATCATCAAGTGATACAGAAGAAAGTATTGAACAGGAATCAGTCCAAGCTACTTCTGATAATTATAACAGTGTCATGCCAGGAGAAAAGTCATGTATGCCTCCACCTATTGGTTTATCACTTCCCATAGTTAACAGAACACTTCCTGGATGTCCTTCTGCAGCTCAGCTAAGTTTAGCTAGTAGTTTAGGAGATGGACCTATATGCAAGATTTGTCATATGTCTGCTAAAGATGGTGACCAGTTAATTTCTCCATGCCGTTGCGCAGGGACCATGCAATATATACATTGTGGATGTCTTATGGTAAGTTATTTAATATATTAATAACTAGTTGTATTTTTATGTCAATTTATTAATAATGAGGATCATGTTAAATTTAGTTTGAATGAATGAATAAATGTAATTTTAATGTTAAAATGTATTTTGAATTTTTATAAATCAATTGGAATATCAGTTAAAAAGTACATGATCCTCAAATTAAAACAAAAATATAAGTAACCTAATATACAATAGGGGCTGTTGACTAGTCATTCATTCACACACTGTCAACTCCCAGCTGTTTTCATTTCCTCTCAGTAACCCCATTTTCTGTTTACATGGCACAGATTCATCCAGTGGCCATATTTCAAGGAAGCACATCGGGCATCAGGGGTTAACAGTGTGAAAGAGGTAATAATAAACACATTATAGCATACAATAATGTGTTCACAGAATGTGAACTTATCTTTTGAGTTCACTTCATCAAATGGAAATTTAGACTATATAAAATTCAGTTGCCACAATTTTTATATCCATATTTTAACTTTTTCTCTAAAGAAATATGGTTTGTAGATTTTAAAGTTTTGTTTTATCCTAATCTGCATTTCATAGTGAAAATTTGAGACAGGTATATTTTTTAATTTTATTTGGAGACAATATTTTAAAACTTTTTAAATCTTTTGAATTCAAATATCAAAATTTATTTTATATTAGTAAAATAATAAACTAATTTACTGCTGTGATTAGTAATGCAACAGAATTCTGATTATCTAAGGATTTTGGATATAAAAATTATAAACTACTAATTACTTAGTAGTAAAATTTATTGTTTATTTTAAAATTTAATTCAATACTTGTAGATAAATAGAATTCTGTTTCAGCTGCTTAATTTCAATCTGATTTTTTTAGAACCTTTTAGTTTACTAATTACTGTTTTGTCTATTTAATTTTCTCTTTATTTACAATTTTATACCCTTTATTTCTGTAGAGATGGCTTGAGATATCTAGCAAAAAATCTCGAAAACCACCGAGTTGTGAACTTTGTCAATATCAGTATCAATGGCATAAAAAGTTTAAGGTATGGTGATTAGCATTTAAATATTGAAATTTATTTAAAAAGTAATCAGAAGCTATGCAGTCCAATTCTGTTTATGAATTTAATAAAAAAAAAAAAAATTAGAAAATCATTCAATATTTTTTCCACAGGTGCGTCATTGGCAGTTTCCGCACTGTTCCAGAAGGGACAAGATATTGCATCTATTATTTTTTATCTCAGTGATAGTAATGGTGACATGTGCAACTATTACTATTATGTGTTTCAAGCAAGATAAGGGCACTCGAGTGGATCCCGATCGTACGGAGCTAACACAGTCGGAGATTGTCACCCTCGTCTGTGGCGTGCTCTTCTTTCTGGCATTTTTTGTAGCCATGTACGTTGAAGTGAAAGCACGCAACACTATCTACAAATTGTTAGCAAAATTCATCTACTTGAATCAGCAATGGTACATCGATGAATATGATAAAAAGGATAGTGCTCCTGTGGCAGTATAGGTTTTCAAGTAGCAATTCTCTTATCATGCAACATAACCTCAGGAACTTTCATATGCCTTTGGCATTCTTTATGAAGTTAACTTTAGTCATAATGGCATTTTGTTCTGTTACAATTACACTTGTCGGTCCGAGCGTCCGACGAGTCACACGTCAAAATGCAAGGTTATTTTGCAGATCGAATTTCTGAGTACAAAATATTTCAATCACTGCCGAAATTGGCATTTTGTTGTTTTTACAACTCTTAAGCTGATAATTTGTCTCTGTTTTTAGAGACGATGTTGTTTTGAGAGTAATGTGTTGCAGACTACAGGCAAGATTATGTTTATAAATAAGAAATAATGAAAATAAATAATTTGTTCCTGCCAATGCATTATGAGAAGTAATGGAGAAACTATGCTCAGGATTATAGCAGATTACCGACAAATCATCCATGCCTTATTGCCTCAAACATTGATATCATCATTACATAGATGTATATTATCATGGACAAAAATGGTAATGCTTCCAATTTGTCATTTTCACTAATTAGATCCTTCATCATGTTTTTTGTAAATTACATGTTTTATTTCTAAAGTGATGTCTTCAATTGACTTTTATGTATTGTGTGTGTGCATTTATGGTGAAAAATGTAATTAAGCAAAGCTTAATGAGATTCTCCAAATAGGTCAAGGTTTCTCTATAGAAATTTTGCTATAATCTTTTCCTAATTCTGTGATAGTTTTGTAGTCTTAAGATTTTTCACTAGAAAATTTTGCTATTATCCTTTTCTCATATTTGTTTAAAAAAATAAAATCATTTTGCAGCTGTTCATTTTTCCAATAGCTTGACAATCAGTCTTATGTAGAAAGTAAATTGTCAAATAAAAAATGTTGATAATTTTGTGGTTCTTTGTAAATCAAGTTCAGATCAATGTTAATTTAACCAACACTCGAGATGATTTATTTGATACTTGAATAGGAGGAAAAAGATTTTATATTTAACAACTTGTCTGATAACATGTATTTGCTATGTATAAAGATCTTATTTGTAAATAAGAAAAGAATTAATCTCTCAAATTAAAAAGCTATCTGCCATAAGAAGTTCAATCATCATAATGATTTATACATCTGGTGCCGATTCTGTTACCATTACGTTCTTAAATCCAATAGTTCATCAAGACACATGTCAAATTGCAAGGTTGTCTTGTGGATCAAATTTCTGAATACAAAATAATTCAAAATATAAATTGTTAGATGTTGTTTACACTTTAAAATTGATTTTAAAAAAATTAAACAACTCCTTTTATTATGGCTATAAATTAACCTAAAAAGTTTGAAAAAAGAACAAATATTCTTTGAGAATCAATCTTATCACTTTTAGAGAAACAAAGTATATTTTTATATGATGATAATTTCTAAACCTATTGATAGTGTTTCTAGTTTTATACTTCTACTCATATAATAAATTTATCTTTACTTAAGAATAAATCTTCAAAAATATATTTCAAAATGCTACTTTGCTTGAAGTTAGCATTTAGATTGTTAGCAAAAAAACTATAAATTTATAGTTCATAATTTATTATTTTTAAGGAATTTTTAAACAATATTCTGTTTAAATTATTAATTATATAATTAATAATTCAAACATTTTTAAAATGTTTAAAAAGATTATAATCTTATATAATTCAACAAATTACAGAACATTTTTGCTTTAAAGTCAGATGTTTTAACCACATATTAGAGATAAAGGCTTGCATAATAATTTATCTTGTTTTAAAGCTGAAGGATTATTTATTCAGTTAATCTTTATTACTAAGAAAAATTTAAATGCTGATACAAAATTGATAATTAACATGGAAAAAAAGAAGTTTGTCCTTAAGAATTTAATTACATAGTTACAGGAGGAAAAAAAATTATAACTTTAAGTCAACACCTCTTTATTGGCATAATTAATTTTGGGTTAATTTATGCAAAATTTTAATCTGACAAATGAATTTATAAAAATTTAATTTTGAACTGTAAAAACTAGCAAAGATTAATGTTAATTTGACATATATATAAAGTTGACATTCCTATTTTTATATATATAACTTCTAAATAGATCATTAAACTACACTACTAAATGTCTTAGCATTTAAAAGTAGTTTTTATTATATACTATGCAAAATAAATATCAGGGATATTTAATATTGGCCCTTGGCCTTGTTGTGTTACTTGTATAGCAACCTTCAAAATGCAGGTGCACTCTCTACTCTATAATTAAATAAACTTCATCAAATATCAAAAGGTGTGGTTCTTATGATTTATATTTCAGCAGGAAGTTTGGCAACTGTTCCTTGCATAAAAGAGCAATAACTAGAAAAATGAATGGGAACTAGAATATTAAAAAAAATTTAATAGGTTATTGTGTTCTTCCAGGTATTTTAGATTATAAATGCCTCAATTATTTATTATGTGTGCATTTTAAAAATTTTACATGCAGAATCGTAAAAAGAAAAGATTTTTGTTATATGTTAGTTAGGAAAGCTAAAGTAGGAAAGTAGAACATTTCTTCCTGTATGGTGGAAGAAGCCAGTCAGCTGATGAGGCTATCTCACAGCCAGCCACGTGTGCGTACCGGAAGTGGAACTTCCGACAGAATCTATATGGATTCCCTAGCCTCGACCGTTAAGAAAGTTGATGTGATCTTTATTTTTTTATAACTTAAAACGCATGGGTGCATCTAATGTAATCTTACTTTTTTTCGATAATTTCATATGGGAAAAAGGAATCTCTCTCTCGAATGTTACCAGTTTTATTTAAATAATATAATCCAAGCCAGTTCTATTTAATTTTTGGGGAGAGAATGAATTTATATCTAATCTATACCTTTGCTCCTTCTAATGTAAAAAGTTTCCAATTATCGTGTCAGTAGAAATGTATGATAAGATTTTGCACTTTTATTACACATAAACAATTATTATTTCTAACTTTAATGCTCGTATTAAAACTCCATCTCGAAATTCTTAAATGATTCATTTTTGGGCATGGATTTTTATAAATTTATATTTAGACAGTGGTGAGGGAGAGTTTAATCTGTTAAATTAATTAGTGTTGTAATTACTAAGCCAGGTAGATTAAGAATTCTAGGCGGTTAAGGTAGAAAATATATATTTAGAGGTGTGCAAAACAAAGTTATCCAGTTAAATTATTAACAATCAATACAATCATTTTTAACACGCGTGTAAGTGTTACGTTAGTTTATATCAGAAATGAACAATTCAAACACCATAAACATTTAAATTACTTAATCACAGATATTTCGGAATAAAGGTATTTATTATATATTAAGCTGCTTAATTACTATTTAAGTGTACACAAATTTCGGTGGGCCACGTACATTTTTTTTGTAGAGTTGCGGGTTTTTAAGCTTGCTGAGTATCAACGTATTCGACCTCAAGTACACTCGCTAATAAAATAAACTATATATTGTTAGTTAGCGTATATTATTCTGATCTTTTTACCAATCAAGTTTAGTTTGAGTGTTCTTCGTCATTAATCAGCTTAATTAATTTTGCATAATGGCACGAGGAAAAAAAATGGGAAATTACGTTGACAAAGTCCCGGAGGACCTCGTGCGGCCCGAGGCCCGCGGGTTGCTCGCAACCGGTGTAGATCTTTATATGGCTGGTGTGTACAGTACGTACGTACGTATATTTTTGGCTTTAATCTTTAACTTGGTTTTTATTGCAATGCAAATTTGTTAATAAGTTATTCATATATTTTAACAATTCTAAATGAGAACGAACAAATAATTAAACGGCTAAATTTTATTACGAGAATGAAAGTAAGAGGCATATAATTGATTGGGATCAATCTCGGAAGTCAATTCATCGAGACCGATCGATTTTCTTAATTTAAAATACGAATTTGAACTAACTGTTCTTGACGATTCACCTCTGCTTAAAGGTGGCAGAGAGCCAACTCGATTTCTGTTGAGAATAATTTTGTAAACACATTACGACATTTATTCACTTTCGTGATAAAAGAAACGTATTGCCTTTGTACGGTATACGTTGATCAATCTTTCCTTCACGTGATCGACATGACGATTCGAAATCCTGCTATATCGACTAGAAAGTCTGAACTGGCAACACCTTCGCAGTTTCCAAATATAAATTTTACGAAATAATACTGCTGTTCGCTCATAATTGGCGGATGATGATCGAGAGTAGAGTTCGGCGAACTTGCGATAATAATAGATTGGCTAATGGTTTATGTGGAATTTTTATTGTTATGTTTGATCTTTTATGAATGATAAATTACAATCGAGCGAGATGCGTCTATTTTTAAATGGAGTTGTGACGCAAACGATTCGATCTACGTTACTCAATTGCAGTTATTTTAAAAAAACTAATCGGCGATCTCAATGCGGTAAAAATACTACTGAAACAATAGAAAATTTGACGTAAAATATAAATTTACAGGTGTTTTCGTTTGGTGTATTTTTATCGTATCGATTAACGAGACACCGCATAAACTATATCGATAAAGTCTAGAAGACGGTTGACCTCTTTACCTAATTATTAACTACGAGAGTAATTTCTCGTGTTACGTGTCGATAAAGTATCGATTCTGCGGTATTACGTGATTTTTCGGCATTGACGTCACGAGATGGAGTATCAAAATAGTGACTTTACTAAGATTTCCCAGTCGAAGTTATGATGCGAATTTCTGCACAGATGTTATCGTGTCGAAATCGTACTTTTAATGCCGTCCTAGCAGCCTGTATGTCTCGTTCAGGGTCGTCTCGACAAAACATTTCTCCTTGCCAAATTCCTATTTATGACGCGCACAAACCATTAATGATCGTAGGTTCTCGCTCTCCAAACAGAATGCCCAGAATAAAATTGCTGCTTAGTTTAGACGTTAACAATCGCGAATTTGAAAAAAAAATAAATAACGTCTTGTTTACAAAAATATTGTTTTATTTTTAGCTAAAATTAATCAACGTATTTGTTTTTTACTGTAGAGGAAAATAACCGTTAAGAAATTTCAAAATTTTATCAATGTGACTCAAAATCTAGAGTCACCTTCAAGATGAGAATTTTGAACAGGTTCGAGTGACAACAATCCAGATAAATGGGATATTCGATTTAATTTTCGAGCTGCGATTTTTTTAAAAATAGACGACAGCTAATATTTTATTCTTAACCTTTCCTACGTACACACAAAGTACAGTACATACGTTACACTGCCGGTTAGGATAGTTTATCTCGCGCCTATACTAAGCATACAATTCGTAGCACCCTTTTAACGTCACAATATACAAATTTACACGTGTAATTTAAAACTATAGATGGGTGAATGTACGTAAAAGTTCCTCTCTGTAGATAATAGTTATTTGGCCATGTTTTCGTACTAAAATATTCGTCTTAAACAATACCGGCGGTAGTAGAGCCATAAAATCCAAAACAAAATCGACCACCCTTTTCAAAAGTTGGCTTTTATTTTTATAGTCTCACTTAAAGTGTTATTTTGAATCAAATTCAACTGTTTTCTGTTACTGATAGGCAGAGAGCATGTGTAGATTATGTCGAGTGTTAAAAGGACTTTTGCCCTTTTCTTTAAAATAGACCTAAGTATTTATTAATCGGGGGGGTTATTTCGATAATAAATGTTACTTTTCACACGTGACTAGATCTGTTTATCTGTATTTATTTTTATCGGCCGATAAAAGTCGAGTTTTTGAGAATTTTATTTGTCGTAATTAATCAATTTCGGTATTTTAATTTGATGACTTTTTATCGCCGCGTATCAATCGTCAAGGATGCAGTTTCAGTTTAAAGTCTATACAGATAAAATTCTATAAGTTTTCTGCTGATCTTTTTTTGGGGGGATTAGCTAGCTTTGACGTCACTCGGTTCGGAATAGCAACAAGCTGACCCGACTCGGACATTAATTATATATTTACGACTTGTTTTCAACAGCTGGAAAGTTTTTTCGGCTCGGATCGTTTTACACAACAACGTTAAATTTTGTATTTACGACGTATCATCTACGCGATTTATATAAAATTTAGACATGGCAAACTGGTTTATTCGAGACATTTATTCGTC